CAGGGGTAAGTTCGATCGCCTATATCTTCGTGCCCATCAATTGACTAATTTTTGGCCCTATCGTACGATGACAGTCTCATGCCGTATTTCATCTCTCGTCTTACTCCTTCGATACGCATAGCCCGAGTTCCTCTTGGAACCTTCTAAATCTCCACAATGGTGACACAACTGTGCTTTTCAGCGATCCCACGGTACAGGAGATGGTATGGCTGGACGATGAAAGCTTGTTATACATTAATGGGACAAACTCGGACACCAAAGGGGGTTCTGAGTTATGGATTGCCAGACGCTCAAGGCCGGGTGAAGGGTAACATCCATATCACCTTGCTCTACAAGCAATGGATCAGCTGACTGACCCCTATTAGGTACAAGGCCGCCTCCCTTCCCGCATACGTGTCTAATCTAAAGACCGTTTCTCCCTCTGAGAAGTCAGTAAGCTTTGTTGTATCGGCATTAGCCTACCCCAATGGTACCATATACAACTCCGAGTCCGCCCCCAAGAAGTTGGATACCGGTTTGATTTACGAATCCCTGTTTGTTCGCCATTGGGATGCGTACGATAAGCCCGAGAAGTCATCTCTGTTCTCCGGTGTCCTCTCACTTGACGGTGACAAGTTCAGGCTTGAAAAGGAAATCAAGAATTTGGTGGCGGGCGCTGATGGCACTATTGAGACACCCATCGCACCCTTTGGGGGCGCTGACGATTTTGACATCTCCCCGGATGGTCAAACCGTAGCCTTCGTTTCAAAGACTCCGTATCTCAACCCAGCAAACCATACCCAAGTTTTGGTATATATTGTTCCTTTTGACGGTTCCTCGAAGCCTGAGCCTATCAACCTTGAGGGCAAAGACACGAGTGGAGACCCCCTTCCTAAAGGCGCGGCATCATTCCCAAAGTTCTCACCAAATGGTGATGCGTTGGCATATCTTCAGATGTATATCAATGGGTATGAGAGTGACCAGAATATTGTCTTTGTCTATAGGATGGATTCTTCGTCTATCACTGCCCTCTGGAAACCATGGGATCGCTCCCCTGGCGGCCTTCTCTGGTCAGGCGATGGCAATACTATCTACCTTACCGCCGAATCATATGGGCGGGTTAGAGTTTTTGAAGCACACATCGACGATGACACCCCAAAAGAGATTACGGCCGAGGGAAATATTGCGGCCATGCATCTTCTCCCCTCGGGCGACTTCCTGATCTCCCGGAACTCACTCACCTCGTCTATTGGCTACTTTGCCTTTAATCCCTCCTCAAAGCGCTTCAAGACCTTGCTTCTTCCCACCGACGTGGACCTCCAGCTCGCCGACCTGTCTAAAATCACCGTCGAAGACTTCTCCTTTGATGGTGCGGAGACTAAGGTTCATGGTTTTATTGTGAAGCCTTCGGACTTTGACTCTTCAAAAAAAACTCGACTCGCTTTCCTCATACACGGCGGTCCTCAAGGGGCATGGACAGATTCTTGGAGCACTCGTTGGAATCCTGTCCTATTCGCCGAAGCTGGGTACATCACAGTCGCCGTAAACCCAACTGGAAGCACGGGATACGGGCAAGCTTTCACAGATGCTATTCAGAATCAATGGGGCGGACTCCCATACATAGATCTCGCCAAATCCATGGAGCACTTGGAAAGCACGGAAGAATACAACTATATCGACTTTGGCAAGGCAGTCGCGCTGGGTGCAAGTTATGGTGGTTACATGATCAACTATATCCAAGGGATGCCACTAGGGAAGAAATTCCAAGCCTTGGTATGCTATCACTTATCCTATTCGTCACCACGATGCTTACTTAAGGCAGGTCTGCCACGATGGCTCGTTCGCATCCCAAAACATCTACTCAACTGACGAGCTCTACTTTCCCCAGCACGAGGTAATTGGTACTCCATTATCCCCCTTTCCCCGCTTCTATCACTAACCTTACAAAGTTCAACGGCACTCTCTGGGATGACCCTGAGAACTATTCGAAATGGAGCCCGTCTGCCCATATCAAAAACTGGGGGACTCCCCAATTTGTGATTCACAATGCGCTTGACTTCCGTCTACCCATCAGCGAAGGTCTATCAGTATTCCATATCTTGCAATCTCTAGGAATCCCCAGCAAGTTTCTTACATTCCCCGACGAAAACCACTGGGTTTTGAAACCAGAGAACGGTTTGGTTTGGCACAGAGAGGTACTGGAATGGATCAACAGATGGACAGAAGTGAGGGCAAATAGACGGACTGCAAAAACGGCCAAGGCTCAAACCGCCCTCAAGGCTCAGGACAAGCTATAAAGCAAAAGGGATACCCCCATGTCTTGGTGAAACCTATAGTACAATTGCAGTACAAACGATCAATTAATCAATCAACAGTCGTTACCCCGTAAACTCCGTGTATAATATTGTTGAAAGGCGATAAAAAAAGAAACTATCCAACTACCCTGCCAACCATCTTGCCTAAAACTTCCACCTCCAACGCACTAATCCCCAGCGCATCAATCCCCTTTCCCTGGGACTCACCCGCCTTGATCTTGTAATACCTCTTGACCTTTTCAACATCCACAACTCTCCTTGCAACCCCATCGTCATAAGCCTCCATAACTTCCCCCTCGCCAATCACCCTCCGAATATTTCCCTCCACCTCCTCCCCCTTGCACCAATACTCCCCATTCCCATGCGCAATCTTGACAGCAATAACATCCTTCGTCACCTCCGTGACGCCGAACCTCTTATACGCCTCTTTAATCTATCTCCCACCCCCTCATCAGTCCACCCATCCCTCCAGTTATAGTAAAAGCAAAGCAAAGCATACATTATTATTGCCCCCCAAGCAATACACGACCTCGCTATGCACGTTCCTGGTCCTACGCCTCCCGCTGACGAGTTCGTTGCGCACGGCCTGGAACACGGCGGCTAGCAGGTGCGTTGTTGAGAGGATCGCGCTAGCATCCAGGAATGCGTATTCGTTGGATGGGCTGGTGCCGGAGGTGAGTTCTTGTTGGAAGGTTTTGAACGTGGCGGGCGGGAGTGATGGGAGGTGGGCTACGTAAACTCTGTGAGGTGGGAGGTGTGGGAGGGTGTATGTTGTTGTCATCGCGGTGGTTTTGGCGGATGGATGGATTGCGGTGGGTGGTGGGTATCGTGCTCTGGGACGGTGGGGTGGTGTGGCTTGGCGGTGAGATACGGGAGATTGATAGAGGGCGGTCATGGTGTGTCACTCGATTTGGGCACTTATTTTTTGTGGGGTGGTTAGGTTCTTGGTGTATTAGACTACTCGAGTATACAGAGCCGTAGGAACTAGGATTCCGGTGGCTGGACCTCACATTAAGACATCTGGAATTTCCCTCTTTGGGCAAAAGCGGGGGAATCACTCCGGAAAAAAAAAAACACTCGCCCCCAGCCCTCCGCTGGGACAAAACAAAGGGAAAGAAAGATATCATACAAAAGACCTGACTAAGAGAGGCGACTCCAACTTCCCAGCATGAGCTTCGATTACCCCAGCTCTTGCGCTCGGAGGTTGGGGGTTGGAGTAATGGGGTTTTTGCATAGAGTCGCTTCCGTGTACACTTGTTTTATCCACACCGCCAACACGGCCCACACCAACACTCCCCGAATATAGAGCCGGAATACCTGCAGGAGCACAGCTACTCTGGCGTGCGGTGCATGTAAATACGAGTAGAGTTGCAATACGAGTAGCCCGGTCGAGAGCTTCTCGGAAGCCTTCATGCAAAATCCCTGCAGGAGTCATCTATGCCCTCCCCTCAATCACCAACCCACCGTATACCATATGCAGGAGCTTTCTCGCTGCAGATAGTCCCCCCGCTGGGCTCTCCGCTTCCGAATGAGTCACCAAATATAGAGCACTTACCCCACACATAAAACCCCCTTTTTTCCCCACAATAAAGCCCGATAGGCCCGATATAAAGAGCCCCAGTGCGAAGCTCTGCGACCAGCCCAGTTCAGCAGATCCAGCCCGCACAGCCCACAATTGACCAAGTTCCAAATTCCCAATGGCCCAATCAACAAGCACCACCAAAGACCACTGGTCTTCCAAGGCCTATACCGAGGAAGTAGCACCCTTCGTCGCAGAGCTCACAACGGAAGTCGTCTCTCTCCTCGACCCTCAACCAACCGGTACCTCTTCCCCCCCGCACCCTCTTTCATCCCATCCAACAAACTAACCCCGGTAGACAAAATCCTCGACATAGGCTGCGGTGACGGCGTCCTAACCGCGCGCCTCTCCCAACACTGCTCATCGATCCACGGCATCGACAGCTCCGAAAACATGTTATCCAGCGCGAGAGCCCACCACTCGACGCCAAACACCACATACACCCACCTCGACGCCACTCACCTCCCCCTCCCAGCAACCTCCACAATCCTCCCTCCGCAATCCTTCACAAAAATCTTCTCCAACGCCGCCCTCCACTGGATCCTCCGCGTACCACCCCCCCAACGCATCGAAATCCTGAAATCCCTCCACAACCTTCTCGTCCCCTCCGGAACCTTCGCGGCCGAATTCGGCGCCCACGGGAGCTGCGCGGAGGTCCACACCGCCCTGATCGCCGCACTCGTGCATCGGGGCGTCGCGGTGGAAATGGTGCGCAAGGCGTGTCCGTGGTGGTTCCCGACAGAGGAGGAGGCCAGGAAGTTGTGGAGCGAGGCGGGTTTCGTCGTTGAGAAATTTCAGGTAGCGCTTCGGCAGACGGAGTTGCCGCAGGGGGATGTTGGGGGGTGGGTGAGGTTGTTTGGGAATGGATTTTTGGAGTTAGTGCAAGAGAAGGAGAGGGAGGGGGTTATAAGGGAGGTTGTGAGTGTGCTCGAGAGTGTTGGCCAGGTGGGCGACGGTAGCGGTGTTTTTAGAGTTAATTATATTAGATGTAGGATTTTGGCGAGGAGGAGGGGAGTGTGAGTGTTTTTTGTTTTGTCACTCTGGTTACCGGTCGGTGACGAGCGGGTTGTGGAAGGCGCTCGGGGGGAGGAGGTCAAGTATGCCTAGAAATAAAGTTGGTCAATGGAACCCCTGTGACGCAGCGGTTAGCGTGTCGTTCTTATACAGAGTATTCTCCTAATTGGGAGAACTTGTATGCAAGGTTATGCGAAAGTCGTGAGTTCGAATCTCACCCGGGGTACTTTTTTGCTTTTGTATTTTTTGCGCAGGGGTCGTCTTTCCTATCGGGGTTAAGGGTAATGTTTTTCGATACGGAACTTCGTTTATCGACATCGTTGGTCGGGTTAAATTGATTTTCTTTTTTCTCCTCCGTAGGGATGGTTTGGAACAGTGGTTACAGACACATCCATCAACTTCTCATGCCCCTCCTTATATCATACCTCCCGAACGATACTCTACCCACTGTATTAACAACAGAACAAGCGCTCTTTAAATGACTGTTTCAGGATGTGGGTCTAGGGGCATTGTAATCCTTTGTCGCAATTTATTTTGCTGAATACCGGCAGTGGAAAGAGAGGGCTACCGTAGAGGAGCGTCTGTACTCGAGTAAGGGCTAGTTATATGATTACCACACTCGGAGGGGTACGGGAACTTTGCGGGTGCGGCTATCCTTGGATGGATAGGTTGGTGTCAGAGTACAGTAAAGGTCACTGCAAATTGCATGGGAAAGCACAGAAAATAGTGATTATGGCCTGATATAAAATTCAACTGCCAGTATTGTACAGGAATGAACGGCGTAGGAATGACGAGATCTATGATAACGCCCCAGAAAAATCACAAAGTAAACTACACTGTAAAAAAAAAAAAAACCTCCTAGCCGTGCAGATCCTCCTCGAGACCTGGACACCCCTCCATTTGCTCATCAGGATATTGGTACTTGCACCAGAAGCAGTACTTGTGCTTGCACCTCAGATACTCCACGATCCGCTTCAATCTCTCTCCAACCCCCAAGGCCTCGAACTCCGCCAACTCTTCATCTTCACCAGTCTCATCCTCAGCTCCATCCTCCACCACCATTCCCAAATTGCGAACCCTAGCGCTACCGGGTGAAATCCCGAGCGCGACTTTGTCTTCACGATCCAGCTCATGGCCCCTATCATAGCCCGGTAGCCTGGGCGAATCCAGACTCTGCAACATCTCGTATTTCATCTTCCTTGCGCGCTCCTTCTCCTCACGAGCTTTAACCAGGCCGCGCCAGAAGACATTGATGCTTCCCAAGGGTACACTCCGTTGCGCGCTACCTCCAAGACCATCCCCGGTATCCTCAAACTTCTCGCAAACCTTCTGTGCGCCGCAGAATTGGGCTTCCATTCTCGCCTGCCCAGCTTCAATCCTGACTCGCTCCCTATACTCCTCGGGACTCAATTGCTCGGCACCAACACCGGCCACGACATCCTTCAACTTGTCACCAGTAGCTTTCTCAAGACCGATCCCGCCACGGTCCGACTTCATGTGAACACCGATGGGTTCTAACCTCGCCTCGTCCCTATCATTATCCCACTCCTTCTTGCCGAGTCCACCGCCGGGCGTGAAGCCCATCTTCTTCATCATTTTCAAACCCTTGTTCGCACTAGCGCTCTGGTGCGAGAGGAGGCTTTTGGCGAGTGCTTCGTCGCGCTTTTGCTTCTCGATGCGTGCGAGCTCGGCTTTAGACTTTGGCCGTGCCAGTTCGGCGGCGCGTTGCTTGCGCTTTAGACGCTCCGTGTAGGATTCTGGTCCCGTCGGGGTTGGGTCCGGGATTGTCATGTTCATGTAGTCGTCTTCCTCATCCTCAGGAGCGGGTGCCGACGGCGGAGGTTCGGAGGGGAACTGTTTTGTTGGGGGTTGGGAGGAGCTGGAGGTGGATGGGGTGGGTTTGTGGTGCTGGCGCTTTGGTGGGGGTGGGCTTGTGGGGGAGGTGGGGGAGAGGTTTAATGGTGTGCGGCGCTTTAGGGACATGCTGGGGGTTGTGGATTGTTTGGAGTGGTGCAAGATGTGTGCAAAGCTTAGCTGAGGAGGTTGCTTGTCTAGAGGTGTATCATAGCAGATGCCGTTTGTTAGGATGGAGAAGGGAGCACTCAAATCAAGCGGTCTTGTCCGCTCCGGAGAGTAGGGTTAAGATGCGGCTCTGTGTTGGTTGGCACGGGTAGGGCAGTGCCCAAGGTTTAAGGGTTACACGAATCGTTCGAGATTTTGATATGCAGGGCGGTCGGCTGGTGGCTCCGCTGAAGTTCCTGAGAATCTTGAAGAAAGTGACAATACATCTTTGGGACCGAATTGGAGGTCCTGCCTCACCGAGCCATGATAGTAGCTTATATAGGACACCGGACAGATCCTCAGCAGTGCAGAAAACACGATGTCGAAATAGCCCGGGGCCCCGAACACCGGTACCCCTCCTGCTCTCGGGATCCTGGGCCATATAGTAACCCCTCCTATGGTAAATAAACTACGCCGCCCCACCACCTCTCAGTTCCCCATCTACACGCCAAGGACAGGGTAATGCCAACTTTCTCCTCCATTACGGTAGTCTGAGGCTCCCCATCTTAAGCCCATCCGGCTAACCAACGACCAAAACAACTATGATACAATGACAACCCCTTTCCGAGCCCGTATCCAAGCGCAACGGAACCTCCGCCGCCTTTTCGAAAACCTCACCCATCTCCGCAAAGACCGTCCCTCCACCCTAACAGAAATCCCCATTCCCAGCGCACAGCCAAAGAAAAAGCCCAAAGCTCTTCGCTCACGAGCACTCAAGGACCCGCCACCAGCCGTGATACCGAATTTGGCACGACCGCTGGTGTTGAATCGACCGATCAATGGGGCGCCAGCGGTAGAGCGGAAGATCAGGAAGTGGGAGAGCGTGGAGGAGATTCAGAATGCGGTTTTGGATGAAGGGGAAGGAGGAGGAGAGAGAGTTGACGTGAGGATATTTGAACAGACGGTGAGAGGGCGGGTTGATATGATTGATGGGGGGAGGATAGGGGGGTTCGCGCCGATGGAAGGGTATGTTTTGAAGAGGTTGGAGAAAGCGTTGCTGCTGCTGGAGAGGAACCCAGTTGTACTCAAGAAGGAGATATTTTACTGGCTTGGGAGAGCGAGGGCTATGCCGCGGGTGTTGAAATCGCTGACAGAGTATGCTTGGAAAACTATATGGGCCCTGGAAACCGGCGAGATACCTACTTCCCGGAGCAAGCTTGTTGGGGACCTCATGATCGCGGCGCAAGTCCCGCTATCAGAAGAACAGGAAATTGCCTATATCGGTGGTCTGTTCTGGAACGATGCTCGGGCTCAAGCGATGGAGCGGTGGCGCAACAGGATTAAAGTTGGGCCAGCTTCGAGAGCGTTTTGGAATTTGGGAGTGCGGTTGCTTGCCCTAGCTCAGAAGCCTGAGGCAGCGTACTATACCATTCAGAAGATGGAGGAGCACCTTGTGCCCATCAACTACAGGGACTACGTCCCTGTCATTATGGCATACAATCACATCGGCCAGCCAACCAAAGCGCGGGAGGCGTACAAGAGGATGAAAAAGTTCGCGAGAGAGAACGGTTACACGATCAAAACCAAGGCATACGACGACATCTCCATGTCCTTCCTGGATGCCGGAGAGATGGATAGGGGCCTCTCAATATACAAAGAGATGATATTCGCCGGAAACAAATCCCTCTTTTATATATCCACGGACGACGCAATGGGGAGACTTTCCGCCGCGGACGCGGCGGAGGGGCGGCTGCCCGAGAAGCTACAAGATGGCCCCCAAGAGCCAAATCTAGCATATATGTCTCTCGAAGAGCTCAGGAAGCTCCCCTACGAGAAGTGGGATCAGTACTTTATCGAGGGCTGGATGCAAAGTCTTTTAAGGATGGGAAGAGCAGACCTGGTGTACATTCTCATCACCAGCGAACTGCCAAAGCGCGGGTTTCCAACGGACAGCGTACACTTCAACTGGGCGATCAAAGGCTTCCTAGAAGAAGGCAGCATAGAAATGGCAGAATACGTGGCCCAGGCAATGATTCAAGAAACAATAAAGTACGTTCAATCTAAAGCTAGCCCTCCTCCTAGACCCGGGTCTGGCGAAGAGCAAGGAGAAGAAGGCGCAGTACCACCCCCATCACCAGAAGAGCGAGAAGAAGACGAGGAAAAGAACCTCATAACAGCCCCACCGGCAACCATCTACACCTTCTCCCACCTAATCCTATACTTTTCCCGACACCAGCGCATGGAGCGAGTAGCCGCATACACCAATCTCCTCTCGCAATGCGCTCTTCAGCCAAACTCCTTCATATACAACCACATCCTGTACTCCCTCTACCGCCTGCAATTTCACGAGCGCTTCGACAAGGCCTTCGCATCAATGCTAGAAACCCCCCTTCCAAACCTCCACCCAGACGTAGAAACCTGGCAAATCGCCTGGGCAGCGCACCGCCGTCGCCTAACACTACTCCGAAACACAATGCCGGACCACCACCGTCACCTCTTCCGAGAAATGGTCCGTACCCTCCCACCCCAGAGCGAGGACGAGCACAAGACCATTCAGAGCATCTGGCAAAAAATCGTGAAGTGCTTCGTCATTGTGCAGGACTTCCATGGTCTCCTCGTCGCCCTGCATGCTGGCGTCAAGAACTGGGGCGTCGAGCTGGATAACACGATCCTGCGCGAGGCAACCATTGGCGTGCTCAAGCCGCGGAGGAGGTTCGTCCCCGATCCCGCGAACCCGGGAAGCGTGGTGAGGACCGTCGTCGGTAAGGGGGCGGTAGACGCTTCGGTGGCGTACCTAGTCAGGCAGGGACTCAGGCTCTTGAAGAGGAGGAGGGGAGCGGCCGCCGCAGGAATGGGGAGGAAGAGGGTATTGGAGGGAAATTTAAGCAGCCTTTCAGAACTACTCGCAGTAGAGTCGATATATCAGCCGGGTTACACTTCCGAGGATTTTTCAGCAAGAGTTAACGTCGCAAAGCGGGATCTCGGAGTCGAGGGATTGGTGATAGAATGGTAATACGATACGAACGCACAATAATTCCAAAACTGCCTTCAAAAATACCCTAGAAAAAAAAGTCCTTCACCGTAGGGTACAACGCCAGCAACATAAAGTAAAATATCACAACTACCACTCACTAGCTGCTCCCCTACACAATACAATACCTACCATCAAACTCAGAAACATCACCACACACACCCCAACATATCATACCTCCCACGCACACACCA